ATAACCATTCAATTGCGAGGCCTACATGAAATCAATAGTGGAATTAGCCTCTTTTAACTAAAATCCATGACAGGATGTCAACGAATATATTCGTCAGAGTAAAAAGACAAAAAACTTAGTTCTGTTTATAAACAATGAAAATACAATATCAAAACAGGTAGCTGCCTTAAGTTACAATAGATAGATCAAACGTCCAAAAGGTCAATCTATCAAAGATGCTTCCAGTATTAATAGCTAATTAGACAAAATGTACTACAAAGGTTTTAAGATAAAAGCGTTAAGTGTTCAAGAAAGTAAAGAAAATGCCAAAGAAATGAATAGCAAGGATTACCCGACATCAAGGGAAACCCAACTTATAATCTAAGTTATATAGATTAGTGATGAGAAATTACATCAAGGAGACGAATCTGATCGTTATGATTCTCGGAGAGTCTGGCGGCCGATCGTAGGACAAAAGAGGGGTGCAGATAAACAAGATCGGCGAGAGAGGCATCCGCGTATGCAGAAATTGGCCGGTTCATAGGGGCTCGTGATGCTGTGTCTGGAATTTGGTTTCGAATACAGTAAGTTGCAGAGTCGTCAAGATTTCGAGCAGCTTCTGACCAGGCAATTGCTTCGCGCAAAGCGGATGTGGCTAGAGCGCATGCATCTATAGAAAAGCAAATCGATAAGAATATATGAAGGAATCAACTTGGAAAGAAAGATAAAACTAAAAGATTAGGCTAGCTGTGGCTCATGATTAGAAAGTAAGAAAGACAAATGAAGTCATTACAATAAAAAAGATACTTGTATAATAATTGTAATATAAAACCAAAGGTATGAAGCTCAAGATGGTGTGTATTCTTGTATCTTCGCAGTCTCCTTTTTTTGTATAGAAGTTGTCTGACCCCACTTTCGCTACTTGGTCATGTTGGCAGGAAGACTTAAAGGAACGCACCTTGCTCATAGTCTATAGAATACATGATAATTTTCAGAGCCGGACCGTGGGCCTGGTACATTCCCAGACGTTTCATTAACATCATCAGTGAGCCTCGCCATTCTTACCAATAAACTACAACCCGTCAAAGAGACAAGTGATGTCTATCTTTCGGCCAATTGTCTGCTAAGCAGTTGTTTGATATCTCCCTCTTACTATCACAATTTATTACTTGCTTATTAAAGCCTGGTTCGATTGTGCTCTTTTCGGCAGATTACATGAGACCTATTAACACTATCCGAGGATTCTCTCATTCCTCTCCATTGTGCTAGAAGTGTTGATCAATAATCCGTAAGACCCTTCTCCTATCTGCCTGGTTTAGTTTTTTCACTCCATCGCTGCATGTTATCAAAGGCATGAGGCAGAGTTTAGAACATAATGTTTCGGGTAGCAAGGATACGGTGGCAGCGATGGAGTGAAACTCTGAACCGGGCAAATAAGGGAAGTATCTTATGAATACTGAATTAACACTCTCAGCACATGGAGGGGAAGATGAGAGAGCCAGCGAGTGTGAATAGGTCAAAAAAGCACATCTTAACTAGGTTTACAAGAATACAGTATAGATGAATACCCCAGGACAGAATGAAATATACCACAACTGTTTAGTAGACAATTGAGTAAAGGATCGACTACACCTGTCTCATTGACAAGTTGTAGTGTGGTGCTGAGAATGGCAAGGCTCACTGAAGATGCCGGCATAACGTCTGGGAATGTACCAAGTTTACGGTTTGACTCTGGAAACAATCATGCATACTATGGAGTCCGAACAAGATGCGCTCCTCTAGCTCTTCCTGCCAATATGGCCAAGTTGCGAAAACAAGGTCGATAAACTTTTATAAATGGATTAGTTTAAAAGGAGTTGAGAATGCAAATAATTCGATAAAGAATCACCGTTGACTTTAAATACATACCTTTGTACTCTAAAAGATTCTCCTGTATTTGCATAGGACTAGCCATCTGAGTGTGCTTTGTAAAATCTGAGATTTGTCGAACGAGGAATTCATCAAGGGCACCACGGGTCAGCTGAAGCAACAGGTCAATATTTCCAGCAGTAGGAAGACCATCGTCTGTGGCCCACCAGCAGGGACGAGCTCGATAAACTGGCGGCCGAATGACAGCGTTCAGTGGAAGGGTTGCCATAGCGACCCCAAGCAAGTCACTATTAATGCCCTCGACACTCAAGAATCTTCTTGAATTGTTGCTAATACTACCTAACGAAGAGGTAGAAGCCACATTGACTGTAGAAGCTACGCTTGTATTAAGACCAGACAAAACATTGGCGGGAGACCGAGACAGCCCACCAGTAAGCAAGAAATGCTGAAGTAAAGTGCGAGAACAATTCTGCGAGGGTAGTTCAATATCCTTGCCGTTATCGGTAATTATTTGAGTGGTCGAATTGGGGCTGTTGACTTTAGAATTTGATGTTGGTGAGATAGGGAGTTGAAAAGGAGAATTTCGCGCAACTTCCAGCTCAGGTAAACAAGCAGCCAGACAAAGACCAGCTACTTCAAGCTCGTCCTCGTAAAAAAGATTGGCTCGGAGAGCATGACGCTGATTCATTACGGCGCTAAATCCGCACTTACACATACTAGAAGTCGAACTAACAAGGTTTTTTATTAGCGCTTGGCGACTTGCAGAATGTGGACTAGAATTGGGTGACACGATATCAGTTAGCCCAGTGGTAGCCACCAGAGCTGGACTGGGCAAATAAACTCCAATCTCAGAGCCTAACACTGATGTGGTGCAGACGCAGATGTTGCAGGAGTCAAAATTGTGATCCTGAATAAGGGAGATTGATAACACAATCGGGCTTTAAATGCGTATTTAGAAAAAATAAAATAAGTCTTTACACAAGTGAAAATACAAATTAAGAATTAAGATCTCTTAAATTGGTGAAAACAAGATACTATTTTAAAACTAAATGACACAAGCGAAGGATTCCGTTCATTTTTCAAGGCTTGTTGTTTATACGCTAACATTCAAAAACGGTCAGAAATTGATTTAATACTTAATTGACGTTTTGTTTTGCTGGATTTGTGACCTTAACCATCTGTCGACTGGTCAAGAGGAATCTGTCATCGTCTTCTGATGAGATCGGCCTTCGAATATTTTCATCAAAACACTTTCACTCGAAATGGAAATAATCTCAATGATTATGAAACAATAGATTTTTCGAGACCCAAGTTTTCTTTGCAATAAAAATAAGGTGAAATAGGTAGGTGGACAATTTGGTTAAAATTGCAAGAGAACAAAAGTTTATTAAAAAGCTCCGCATTTTATCCTAATTATAAGAGTTTGAAGTCGAAAGATACATAATAAAATGAGGTATCTCTGGTACCCCAAGGTCTGTAGGATCTGTTGCGAAATTAAACCCAAGTTTTGGTTACATATCATGGAATGCAAGATATTCTTTGTGACAATCCGTCCTACGTTCTGAAAGATTCTGATAAAGGTAGTAAAAATCAAATAATGAAAGTAGGCGCATACCTTAAAAATGTTAAGCAGAG